GAGTGGGTTTTTGGAGTATACAAGAAAGCACCAAGATTCTGCTTTTTTTTTTTTTTCCTTTGTCGCATCTTTTTTCAGTTTTCACCATCATTATGTCCACGTCATCCATCATCCCCTATTTTTCTTGCTGCTCTTTATCATAATTGCTGTGATTTGATTATTTACAACCATCTAAATTTAACTTAAACCGTTGAGATTTAATATTTTCATTTGCATTTTTTAAATATATTAAATTTATCTTTTAAAAATTAATAACGAAAAGATTATCTCTGTTTTAAATTATATACCCTACAAGGCTACACGCCCACACCCATGAAGACTTGAATTTTTCACATCGCTGCACCAGTCAGTCAACTCCCTCGCTCTTATCATCTGACGTTGTCAATTTTTTGCCTCTTTATTTTAATACTTCTCTATGATAATTTTAAGTTAAAAGTCCAACAAAAATGCTCACGTTGCTTTTCGTTGTTTCATTTCTCGAGCACGCCTTTGAATTTTTATCTGGCATGAAAAATTTAAAAAAACAAAAATGTCTTCACAAATCTATTTTTTCCGAGTGGCCATTGATCACGTGTAACGCGTAACGGTGGGATCCGTCCTTGGTTCCTTGCCACTCACGTTGATCAATCAATCAAAGGAAATAATCACAAGCCAGCAAATGACATGATGACTAATCTTTTGGTCAAAACAATGACTTGATCACTGATGTCATAATAAGACAAACTTTCGTTTTATTTTGTATGATAAGAAAATACTAGTATGCTAGTATTGAATTATAATATTAATATCAATACTTGATATTATTCAATTACAATATTATCAAAATGTAAGCAGAGGTGAAATATAGTTTTTTTAGTGTGATATATTTGTAATGTTTGAGTGCATTTCTTTAAATAATTAATTTGATAGTTACATGTAAAATTTAAATCATAAATCTTATCCTTAATGAGGTAGTAATGTTGTTATCGTAATAACTACCTGTGAGTGTAAGGTTTGAATATACTTCTTTTGGCTTTTTTAGAATTTTTTTATTCTTAATATAAGTTAACTGATAGGGATACTAATTATAACTTTTTTAATATTATTCATATTTAAATTTACTAATTAGGAGAGAGAATGTAATGTAAATTTAATTATTTTTATCTATCTTATTTTTTAGATAAAATTAACAACTCAATCACTTTTCTTAATTTAATAAAATCATTAGATGTGTATTATAACAAAAATATGAGTAATACCATTGCTTGAAATCAAATTTTTAAGCTTTAGCCTAACTAACCTGCCTTAATTTTTTTTTCCCACCCGCATGAGTGCTAATTAGGAATTATAAATAATATAATATTTTATCCATTAAAAAATGTAATATTTTTTTAAAAAATTTAATATTTAAAAATGTAAGGCATTTTTAGCCTTTTAAAGTGTGATCATTAATTTTTTTTTAAAAGTATCTTTATTAATAAATGGCTTTATATTTATTATAAGGTGTTTAATATAAATAAATATAAAAAAATTATTTTAAAAATAAATAATTATTTTATTAAAAATAAAATGTAATTAAAAATATTAAAATTAGAAAAGACTGAAGTGTTTCTTGGTGGTGGAGTAGGTAGTCACTGCCTACAGGTGAACATGCGCATTTGTAATTCTACGTCATTGGTGATATTTATTTGTAATAGAAAGTTCCTCGATTGGCTGGAGTGGCTTCGGGGAATGGACGAGGGTCAACTTCCGGGAACAGACCTGCAACCACATTCCGCACCCAAAAGCCTATCATTTGCCCACATATTCCCTGAAAATTTCAATAATGCCATTTTTCTGACCCCGAGTAGCGCCCGCAGCATTCAATGCTCCTCAGCCTCTCACCCGTTTGCGCACTCGGTGTTCTTGACCACGCGATTAGTCATTCCTCCATTTTTTTTTTTTTTTTGCCAATTCATTTTTTTTATGACATGGCCAAATCATTTTTACTCGTGTAATTTTGTTTTGTTCGCATGAATTTTTCCTTTTCGGCGGATGGGATCATTTGCTTCGACCCGTGAGTCCACGTTTTGAAATGAGATCATATGTACTATTGATATTGAGGTAATTATTTTAAATCTTTGTGGCCAAAAAGATGTGTCATTTAATCTTAACGAGGTGCCTAAGAGTTTTTATCAGTATGCAAATACGGAAATATATTTTAACTAATTAAAAAGCGTACAAACTATACAGAGTGAAAATAATAAATATACCAAAATGGAAAATATGCAGAAAAATTCATTCACGGTAAATACTTAGAAGAGAAATGTCGTGTCTCCAATCCATAGTCCACGTTAGGGAAAAAAATAATTATAAAAAAAAAAAAATCATCCTGCGAACGGATGGCGGAGCGTGCTCCTCCCAGAACACGTCAATTATCATCAATTAATGAAATAGGACGCGTTTGGTAGATAAGGAGCTTGAAGCATATCTAATCAATAAATACAATATAATTATATCAATAATCAAAATTCAAAGTAGCTCTTGAAGGAAGCTACAAATTGGTCAAAGGCCAAAAAAAAAAAAAGACAAAACGAAAAATGTGTGAGTGTAAGCAAAAGAAGAGTAGACATTATGTTTTTTGACGAGCTTGGATTGGCGCATTATATTAAATGTCTGTTATCAGTCTCTGAATTTAAAATTATTAATTTTAATATCTTTTAGATGATACATTCATTTCACAAAAATTGAAAGTCATCCAGTTTTAATTTAGACTAGCGTAAAAATATAATAGTATATAAGTCATCCAATTTTAATTTAGACTAGTGTTTGTACTTAACCACTTGCATGCATGGGCAGCGCTGCATTGTAATTAAAGAAGGAGGACAAATGAAACCCTTGAGTATAAAGAAAATTATAAAAAAGATCCGTATACTCTAATATTTTACACTTTTTGATTCAAATATTTTGCATTCTTAACTCAATTTTAAAGATTTTAGATTCAATTTTTTAATTATTTTTAAATTATTAATTTAAAAAAATGTTGCACCCCACAATCTAAGATCCTAACACTACCATTGCTTCCACGATTCAACTCAAGTTAACATTATATATTCCAAGACACTAGTGAGCCCATCAAAGCTGATATTTTCAATAACGTTTCGCAAGCAAACGATTTTTTTTTCTTCCTATTCTTCTATTGATTTTATATTTGTGATATTTTATGCACAATGATTTGCAAGTTTATAATACTAATTGTACACTGCATCTAAAAGAATTATTTATACATGGAACATAATGTCTAGAGTTACAAGGAACCCAACCCATATTTTTAATCTGATTTAAATTAATATTATAGACTTGTGAAAATATTCATTTGATTTAATCAGTTACATCATAGCATGCATACAAATTGTTATACTGGTTAACAACATTGATCCATGTTATACTTATAGGAATTTGACATCTAACGCAATTATATATAAAGATATACTTTATATTGATAAAAACAACAGCGATTTATATGAGGAATAAAACACTCAATAGGTTTCGTATAAAATCTTTCAAGTTTTGTGACTGCAAAAAATTACGTTAGGAGTTTCTCGTTTGAAATTTAATTTTAACTCAGATATGAATTAATTGACAGTGTGTGACATTGGGCACTATCTAGAATTTGTTTGGAAAGAATATAATTTCCAAATCAAACCATTTTTTAATGCAAAACTAGTGAAATAAGAATTCGTTTCTTTTACCAGCACGATTAAATTTAGCAGACAAGTTAGCTTCTCACAACTCGAATTTCTGTTGAAATTGATATCCATATTGAATGCCTAACTTGGCAACATTTCATTTAACAGGAGAATATCATGCACAATAAAAAAATTATTTTTTATTGAAAGAACTTTTATTTTTATTTTTCACAAGTATTTCCTATTATACATAATTTTATTTAGAACAAAGTCCAACATTAAATTTAAACACATTTTCTAGTGAAAATGTAACTCTTTATTCATCACATCGTGATATATTAATTTATTACACTAGATCCAACTTAGTTTTGTTGAAAGAATTTTTTGAGAATATTTTTTAAAAAAATTTGGTCAAGAAATTATAATCCTTGATTCAACAATTACATTGATTTTTTGGTCAAACAAAGAATTGGATTGAAGAACAATTCCATCATTAAATTACATATACAAAAGCATTTAAAATTATAAATTTATTGTTAGTAAATATTTTTTTTAACTTTTAAAAATGATATATTATCGCCTTTACAATTAATTAAAAGTCAATTTCAATAGTTAATCGATCAAAAAGTTATAAAAAAGTATCTAAAAATTTCAACAATGATTCTAAAAAATCATAGGAAACGGTTCAGAAATTTTTTTAATATTTTTTGTAATTTTGTTATTAACTAAGGGTCTAAACATAATGGACGTTCCCTTTTAAAAAATTAAAAAATACTCTTTTTATTTAAAATGTAAGATATTTTTAACTGAATTTTATCTCTAATAACGTAATTATTTATATTTAAACTTATCATATATTTTTATATTTATTCTCATTTAATAAGATATTTCACACTAATATAAATATAAGTGATCAATTTAATAAGGATAATTTTTTAAAAATATAATGATTACACTTTAAAAAAATTAAAAATATTTTATATTTTTTAATATTTAATTTTTCAAAAAATATGTTATGTTTTTTTGAAACGGGAAATAACATTATATCAAAAAAGAGTGAAAGACTAAAAGGATACGTTTTGGACTTGTAATTTGGATCAAACTAGTCATGTAACTGCGGAAAATTTTGGATGAAAAGGGGAAAAGAAAAACTACCAGCTTCGGTAGGGAATATTGTTACGTACAATCGGGTTGGAGTCGCTGACTCGGAGTCGCTGACTTATCATCCCCGCAGCACAACAGTAGCAGAGTCGAGTGTCCCTTAGGGTCAAAGTTGTAATTAGACGTAATTGCTTGGGCATTTAATGCTCGTCTTTCACTCGGAGGACTCAAAATCGTTCATTATAAAACCTTCCCTGCATTAATAATTCATCATTTTACCATTACAGAGGCGGCTGACACGCCTTCCTCTTGTCTCTCTCTGCTCTCTGCTCTTCAATCACACTTCTCTCCCCACAATCGCTCCACTGAACCTGACGCTAGTGAGATGTTCAGGTATGCCTTTCCAGAACTCCCCCCCCCCTCTCTCCAGCTTCTGATGCTGAAGTCTCTTGTTTCTGTGACCTGTACATGTATGGTTTTCTCTGAATCCGTTAATTTATATTTCTGAATGACTCTTGTCTTCTTCTTGTGGGTTCAAATCTGGGTCTGTGTTTAAACAATGAAATCTTGGTTTATATTTGAAACATGAGAGGTGTTGGGTCTAATTTGCCTTCTGATATTGTTTGTATGTTTTGATTTGTTTTTCGTTTGTATTTTAAATTTGAAAGCCTCCTTGATCTTCTTGGGGCAGAGTTGTCAAGTGAAGATCCAACATGCTATTTATTTATCTCACAGTTTGCGAACAAACCCGGAAGATGCTTTAGTTTCTTCTCGTTTTGAACTCATCCTTTATGAATGTTTCTGCCTGGGGTGTTTGTCCCCTTGGTTTACGATTGGTATTGGCGGAAAATTGATCGAGAGGAATTTCTCTTTCCTTTTCAGCTTTAATAGATGAAGACTCATTTAGTTGATGCAAACTGTTACTTTTTCTCTCTCCTAGAAAGTTTAAGCGTTACGAATTTGGTTGGTGGCTCCAATTGCTTTATATCTCTTTGGGATCTGTTTTTTTCTTTCTGATAAGCCAGATGCTTCTAATTCTTGGAGAGCCATTCTGCTCTGTAATTTGTGGCTCTCAATCTGTTAAATCTATCCCAACCTATCTCTGCTCCAAAGTTACTTCTGGAGAATATGAGAAATACATAGTTGATTTTATTTTATTTTTGATTTTGACTACGCACTCAATAATTCTTTTCCGATCTCTCGAACTCTTTAGAATCCACTAGTCTTAAAATTTTGAAGTTCGATGCTGATCAAATTTTGAAGGGCGGTGGTTTAAATCCACGAGATATGATTGAGTTCATTAGAGAAACTGTCCAAAGGATTGTCAATTTTTTATTTTGTATGTCGTGTTGGAATCTGCTTTTTCTATGGCATATGTGCAATTTATTAGATCTTCTATCAAGCTGGTCTAATGTTTTTAATTTTTCACTCTCCGTTTAATCCACGTTAAAGCTTTATTAATGGTTTATTCCTATCATGCAGGCTGAGTCTCTTTAACATTTTCCTGGATGGTTTGTGGGAATAACTTCTGCCGACAATTGAAGCATCTTTCGTCTTTACAATATGCAGATTGATTATTCAGCGAAACCGCTTAAATTAGCTTTTTACATCTTGTAAACGAGTGATTTTGAACCTGTTGCGGAGAACCTTCGCAATCATTGTTCAGAAAGGTTGACTAGATTCTCTGACCAAGTTGAAAAGCAACCTGTTTTAGATGCAAACGACGCAGAAACACCCTAGTTCAGTTGGTTTCCATCTGTATCACCAGCCGATGCAGAGCACAAACAAATACCATTTGTCTCCTTTCCAGATTTTGCCAAGCAATTCATATAATGAAATCCTTGGTGATAGCAGCCAGGGAACCACAGTTTCTTTTGAAAACTGCAACCAGCAATACTTTACTCTTGAATCATCCCTACCACCTCCTGGTCCCATAGCTTGTGATTCGTCTTCCTTTGCTAGCAATTCATCTAACAGGAGTCCTTTTTCTCCGCAAGGTTCTCAGACTCAGTCATCCCTTTCAGATCAGCTCCTATCCGTGGACAACATCTATGGATCGCCAACTAGTGGGTGCTCTAGTGTTGATGGTGGCAATGAATGGAAGTACAGACTTAAGGAAATAGCGAACGAATTGTTGGGACCTGAGTCAGATATTGTTGACAGCTGTGACTGCTGCCCTGAAGGCGGCCACCACCTAACATCTCCGATGTCTGTATGGAATTGGGATCAGATTGTAGAAAAGATTCCCAATTTAGACTTGAGAGCTGTCCTCACTGCTTGTGCACAAGCTGTGTCCGAGGGAGATTTTCAAAAAGCAGCAGGATGGATGGATAAAGTATTGGTGAAGATGGTGTCAGTTTCTGGGGATCCAATTCAGAGGTTGGGAGCTTATATGTTGGAGGGGCTTAGAGCGAGGGTGGTATCATCAGGGAGTTCAATCTACAAATCTTTGAAGTGTGAACAAGAACAGCCGCCAACAAGCAAAGAACTTATGAATTACATGGGCATCCTCTATAGGATTTGCCCATACTGGCCGTTTGCTTACACGTCTGCAAATGCTGTCATCCAGGAAGCAATGCAAAATGAATCCAGAATTCATATAATTGACTTCCAAATCGCACAGGGCACCCAGTGGAAGTTACTGATTCAGGCTCTTGCACAGCGGCCTGGGGGCCCCCCATACATTCGTGTAACCGGCGTTGACGATTCCCAATCATTTCATGCTCGAGGCGGAGGGCTTCATATTGTAGGACAACATTTGGCGAATCATGCCAAGTCTCTTGGAGTGCCGTTTGAGTTCCATAGTGCTGCCATGTCAGGCTGCAAGGTTCAACTTGAGGACCTTGGAGTTCGACCTGGGGAAGCTGTGGCTGTGAATTTTCCTTATGTTCTGCACCACATGCCAGATGAGAGTGTTAGCACAGAGAACCATAGAGACAGGTTATTGAGATTGGTCAAGAGCTTGTCTCCCAAAGTAATGACCCTTGTTGAGCAAGAATCCAACACCAACACTTCCCCCTTTTACCAAAGGTTTGTCGAGACACTGAGTTATTACTCAGCTATGTTTGAATCAATTGATGCGGCCAGCTCTAGCAGAGACGATAAGGAGCGGATTAATGCAGAGCAGCACTGTGTGGCTCGAGACATTGTCAACATGATAGCTTGTGAGGGGCCGGAGAGGGTGGAAAGGCATGAACTGCTAGGAAAGTGGAGGTCAAGACTTTTCATGGCCGGTTTTAAACAACACCCGTTGAGTGCCTCGACTGCAGCTGCAGTCAGAAATTTATTGAAGGGTTTCAATGAAAAGTATAGGCTTGACTACAGGGATGGTGCGCTCTATCTTTTTTGGATGGACAGAGCTATGGCCACCTCCTCCGCTTGGTGGTGATTCTGACTGCTTTATAGAGATCTGTACATTTTCTTATGTTTTTTTTTCCTTCCCTGAGCTTTAGCATAAATCAGTTGTATCGGCAGAATCTTCATAGGACTTGCTCAAGGTTAAGCTTTGATGCAACATGTGTTGTAGTAATCTCAGGAGCTGCTGTAAATGTCAAATACTAGAATGATAGAAAAAGAAATCTCCAATTGCTGTATAACTGATATGCCTTTACCCTCTTTCAATCTTCGTAGCATTAATCCAAAAGGACCGGAATGAAGGGCTTGGTCTACTATTATTGGATCCATGGTAAGTTTTTCCTTTATCGTTTAGTGATGGTCAACATGTCTCTCCCACGGCAAAGAGGACGACAAAGTTCATCTCTCCTATTTTGAATTGCAGTCTTCAAACATGTGTCAATTTTGACTTTGGGGAAATCCCTATTGACCACAACGTTGAATGACATGTTCAAGAGCCAAAGTCTTCTTTCTTCAGCATTGCACATCCTTTCCTCCAGTGGAGCCTGTCACCGATTCAGTTTAGTCAGTATTCTTGAAAATAAATCATATAATTGATGAGTGACTTGAATCAAATTACAGTGAAAATAGCTCAAGAATTTTATGTCGGCAGATTCTAGAAAAAAAACAAGTGAAGGATGCACACAACAGAAGGCCTAGGTCTCCTGCATTTTTGAAAACGAAAAAAAGAGAGAAGAAATTGCCGTACACGCATCAATTGTCCCATCACTAACTCTAATTATTCAAATTTTCAATTTATTTTAAAAAATTAAAATTACATGTTCTAATTTACTTAAAAAAAGTATGTTTCGTTTGGATGAAAAAAAGTAGGAAGAAAATAAGGAGAAAGAAAAATTAGGAAAAAATGGTTAAAAATAGTAACTATTTTTTATAATTGTCTCTTCTTTCTAATTTTCTCCCCATCTACCCAGGGTAGAAATTCAAACATCTAAGTTTTCTCATGTAAAATATCACATAACATTTTCATCAAAAATAAGATAACATATATAATCAATTCTATCAATAAAATTGAAAATTATTTACATAAATTTAATTTTAATTAATACCAAAATTTTTATTAAAAATTTATAATCATAAAATATAAATAATAAATTTTTAATTTTTTTGGTAAACAGAAAATTTAAATTTATAAAATTATGAGGGTTAAAAATGCGTGTGTATCTACCAAAAAAAAAAAAGGTTGTGCATTATATTAAACCTTATATGGGCCTGCTCCATCAGGGGAAGCCGATACGTTGGGCTAACCCAATGACACCAATTTCTTGTTTAACCGATTAGGGTTTTTTCATTATCCGGCGCCGAATCAGCATCCCACCCCTTTCAATATAAATATGTATTCTCCATCTAGGGCATTGCCGCTTAACAAAGTTAGCTTGTTGATTTCGGCTATTTGAAATTTTCCTTCCCATCTTCCCTTCTCGAATGAGAAATGATTTAGGTAATCCTTCCATCCCACGCGTTTGTTTCTACTACATATTCATTGGATCCTTTGTTCTTCTTGTGTGACGGGGGATTTGCTCAAATCCTTAACTTTTTGTTTGGGGGCAAACGATCTCCCGTGTTTGCATGTTCCCAAGTTAACGTCGCATACAAGGGTTATCGACGTTGACGGATCTCTCACTCGGGAGATTCTCCGTCGATCTTGTCTCATATTCCATCGCCTTGTGGAGCAGCGTTGCTGCCATTACTTCTTGGGACTGGCCATGAGACATACATTGTTAATTTTCCATTCATGTTATCGGTTCTTAATTCCATTCATGCAAATTAGAGTCTCAGATTGGTGATCTCTGTTGACACTGTTTGGCGGCAAACTATTGGTGTTTGCATGGTTCCCAGTTGATGTCACATATATGTATAGCCAGTGATGATATCAATTATTAAAATACCATCTTTCGGGACTGAAAATACTTGATGTTATTCTGCAATTCTGAGGCTATTTACTTGTTGGGCCTTTTATATGATGAACGATGTGTTTTGTCAGAGGAGCTTGCTCTTTTAATGGTCTTTATTCTCATTCAGCTTCCTTGACATTATGTCTTGCAAAGTAAGCCGGGAAGTCAGCTTCTTGGCGCTATTGCTTTTGTTTTATTTCCTCTATTTTAAGTACAATTTTTTATTTTAATTTGCTTTCTAGTTAGTTAACCACAAGTTCCTTCCTTTGACCTTCCCCATCTTATGAACACAATTTGTCTTGTTAGATGTTTACACCTCGGGACCACCAGACTATCCTTGAAAACATGTTGGTAGAATCGGTGGGACCTTCTCGGCGTGCTGGGACTTTCACAACAAAATTTCGCAATAAAATGCATTTGCAAAAGCTGCTCCAGAGCTGTTTTTGTGAAACAGAATCTTGAGCAGCTCTGTAAATGCATTATAATGTGAAGTTTTTCAAAAGCATCTGCTCAGTCGCATGGATTCATTTGTCGTGCCGATCCAAAAGTTCTTCTGCTAAAGGAGAACCCTGAACCTCAACTACAAACGCTTTGTAACGAGGAGATAGCAATGTTGCTGTATCTCATCAATACTCTGCGTGTTGGTAAGGAATCTTGCACTGGATTTCAATTATTTTAAAATGTCATTTGATGATGACTGTGTTTCTATGACGTCAGAGATTTTCTTGATTTCTGAAGCCTCTTCATTCAGTGCTGAAGGAGGGGACATCCCTTTGTGAAGATAATTCAGCGAAAATTTTAGTCTACCTCCCTTGACATAATAAAAAAGGCTGAACCCCTAAATTTCACTGCACATTTAGGGGAGTGAAATGAAATTTAAAAAACTGATTAAAATGACCTTGTTGTTCCTAGTGAAAGAGAACATAAAATACTGAATCAGATTATGGCATCGCAATCATGAAATCCTGTCAACAAGCTTTATATAATGCATGACCTCTTTTCCTTAAACCCTGGACGGCACTTGCCGCTTTGTCCGTCTGTCTCCTGGGTGAACTGCCTCATTCCTGTCTTCTCTGTTTGATGTCCTCTTTGTCTCCAATCTTCGCATGATGCATGCAATCAATTGTTTTTACTGTGTTTTTGTGAAGGGATTGTTGGGCCAAATGATGAATCTTTCAATCTGTGGAGAACTCAAACTTAGTTTTGGGTGCGATGAATTTTTCACTGAATAGGAAGATCTGATGCCTAGAATTGAAATCCTTTCTCAGTAGTTCGTGTCATTTGTTTATTTTGATTGGTGTTAGATTCATGTTATTATGGTTCAGTTGATTCTCTCTGTTTTTTTCACTGCCTTTTCAAAACTTCTTTCTTTGAAAAAGTTGATTCTGGCTCATTTTGCTTCATAGCAGCATAGCCAATGATGAAGATCTTTCTTTTGACTGAAATGCAGAATTTTGCATTTATTTGTTGATACTCAACACTAGGACGGTCTGAGGCTATAACATTTCATTTCACTTTTATTCTCGTCTTTTGTTTTTGCTGTCAATGATTGCATTTGTTTCTTGGATAATCTGGATTACAATGTGCCGTTGTCTGCAGTCTCGGGGATGATGAGAATTATAATTGTATAGTTATCCCTGGCTGTCTAGCAGCTGCTGAGAAATTCTAATCTGACATGCAATCCATACTCTACTCAATGTTTTTAAAATTTTACTCACCACTGAATCCTTAGAGTTATCTGCTGATCGGACTTGGTTTTTTGTTGATAATAAACATATTTCAACTTAATTATGTTGGCACATGAATACTAAGGCAGTATTTGAAAGTTGGAGTAAGATATTTTGCAGAGTGCTGTGGATGATGAGAAAAACTATTTTACAGTTATCCCTGGCTGATATAGCAGGTGCTGAAAGTTTGTAATCTGACACGCACTTCATTACCCATGGGTATTGTTTTTCTTCCTGATTTAGAAGAGGGGTCTGAGGGATTGATGATTGAATTGTTGGACAAGAACGTATATACAAGACTGAAACAATAATATTGATAGTTCTTAAACTACTCACCATGGTATGTACCATGGCAATCCAGAAGCAATGTCAAGGCTTGATTATGAGTTTTCACCCTATAGTAGGAACACTTTCTAGTGATGAGGAGGATCTTCAGTGGTGTAACCAGTTGCTGAATCTGATGATGACGATGAGTTTGATGATGCAGTTTCTGGGCAGGGTCGGGTGACTTTGATTTGCTGGAATTGAGTGAAACTGGAGCAGAGTTTTGTCAATTTGGCAGCCAGGCTTGCAGCATTCCATTGTAATTATATATCTTGCAGGAGCAGAGTTTATTGTGTTGGTCATTCTTTCTACCACGGACCAAAGTATTCACTCTAGCTGCCTTCAATTTGTGATGCTGTGTTGTCCATTTCTGGTCTCTGATTTTTATTACTAATATGTTGCTATCTAAGGTTCTGGTGGGTGAGGGTGGGAGTTTGTAAGTTATTTATTCACACATCTGATTTTTAATGTGCGTATTGACCTGTTGGCCAGAAAGGTAATTGCAGCACTTTTGAGGATATAAATAAGTGAAGTTAGGGGGATAAATAATGCAAGGAATGTGACCAATATTTGAACAAAAAATGAACTAGTGATATAGGGAGAATTTGTAATTTTCATTATTAGGGTAACACATCAAATATAAAAAGTGAGGTTAGATGTATAAACAATGTGTTGGAAAAATAAATCATTGATGTATGGAAGATGATCAATTGATGTGGAGGAAATTTGCAACTCTCGTCAATGGAATAACAACACTAAATAAAATAAGTGATGATAGGATCATGAATAATTACAGGAAGAAAATGAGCAACTGGAAATGTAGAATGAACAACCCAAGAGGAGTTTGTAACTTTCTTTACTAGGGTAACAATACTCTGAATTTAAACAAGTCATGCAAAAAGGAGGAAAAGATTGACAATGGTTTTAATTTTATTTCAATCCTTTAATTGTGAGGTTTTTTATTAAAATCCTAGTAGTTTAAGGGAGTCTTAATGAAGCGGTCAGCCCCCGAAATTTTTTTTGGAACTAGAAATTATAAACGATCTTTCTTTTGTTTGGCCGAAAAGTAACCTTAATTGATAAATTGCCTTGAAAACGTCCCCGCCCCACCCCTCTCACAAGGCTGCTGAAAATGAATTTTATAAAGTCGGAGATTTTTGAAGGAAGGTGAGAGAAAAATTGTTTGGTTCGTGGAATTGGAGAGGGGAGGCAAATTTTATGACTAAAATATCTTTATTAATTTTATTATATTCTAAATATAATTGCTTTGATTAAATAAAAAACATGACACTACTTCTACACGCCATCAATTATTTATTACTAGCTAATATATGTCTTCATTCTAACCCTAATATATTTTTCTACTAAAAATATATTTAAAATTAACTAGATAATCTATTAAAATTAATCAAATAACCTTTTTTTAAAAAAAATATTGCTAGAATTTATCTTAAATAATTTTCTCATTGAATATCATAAGTAGATGAGATAAAAGATTTGTAGATTCAAAAATGAAAAGTAAATTCTGATATAAATATCTTTTTTCATAAAAGAATAGGAGTAAAATAACACAAAAGCATATATGTCAGCTTATAATTAGCTCCACGCTCCTGAACCAAACAAAAATCGTTAAAACACCTTCTCTCCCTTCCCTTGATTAACCTCTCCTCCCCTGATGAGATGAACAAAATGAGTATCATTAGACAGTAATAAATAAATTGTATTATTAATTAGTGGTTTCTCTTGAGCGATGTGAGGTTTTAGATCTTTCCCTCGATTAAAAGGATTGGCATTGGACTGCTTTGAGTCATCATCTAAATATTTTGTTGCATGACATTGTTAATCATTTTTAAATTGCGTTCTTAACAATTAATAATCTGTTACTGCAAATATAATGTACTTGGATAAATATTTTTTTCTTTCCTTATTAAAGACGGTAAGTTTATAAACATAAAAAAAAAAAAAAACATCATACTTTCTCCGTTTCTAGTTAACCCCTTTGAAGGAAGGCTCTGTCGTATTCAAGAGTAGGGTTATTAATGTTTTCAAAGTCAGGCTGGATATTGAACTGAAAAAGTCAGTAGTTCACGGTTTATATGGTTCAATCGAATTGGACCAATGGTCAAACCGGTGATGTGATAATTAAATTAAAAAATTATATATGTATATAATAATTTAAATATAAGAAATAAATCTGAAATTGCTACTTAACTTAAAAATAAAACTAAATATTCTAAGTTTATTATGACTTAATAAGTTACATGATATAATATAATATCAAATGATAAAAAAAAATTAGTCACCTCCTAAAAAATTTTTGATTAAAAAAAATCTCGATTTCAGTTTTAGTTCGACTACCGGTCTAAAATGGCTCAACCCAACTCAACTCTCACAACAATTTTTACATATTGACTGAGCTGAAATATATTGGTCCAATCTAATTTCTTAATCACTGAGAGTTATCATTTCACTGAGGTACTTAAGTTTCAACTAAAAAACAATAATCAGTGGGAATGGGAATCTATGACTTTTTTTTAAGTATTATCCTAAAAAATACAAGGTGTTTTGGGTTTTTTAGAGTGCAATTAATAAAAAAAATTTGAAATGTTTTTAGAGGATCTAATTATAAAAGTATTTTAATTGAGACACTTTATTAATTAAATATTAATAAATAAAATATGAGAAGAGTCTTTCATGGGCGTTTGTCTTTTTGCAGATTTGATTTGTTGGCAGGAGGTTCACCTGCTGTCTTTGATTATGATCATTTTACTTTGTTATTGTCTTAAGAATATTGTAAAAATATTAAGAGAAATATTGAGATATCAGAGAAATAATACTGAATTTGAAAACGTTAATATTAAAAGAAATAATTTAATATTAATATTTTTGTGGAGTCCTTGTTATTGGCCTTTTTTCTGTTTCCACGTTGCGTGTGTTATTTAGGCTTATTTCTTAGTTTGTTTTCTCTCGTTCTTATCACTTTGTGGGCCCAGGGAATTAGGTTTACTAATTTCTTGGGTTTCTCATTGTAATCATTTTATGTTATAATAAAATTTGCTTTTATCATAAAAAAAATTGAAAAGAGTGTAATTTAAAGACAATTAATTAATTCATTAGATGGTGTAGTTGAATTAAAAAAAATAAAAATTTCACCAGTTTTCATTAAAATTTTAAGTTTATTATTTTCTTGTAAAAAGCTCATTAAAACATTCTTGCAAAGTTTCACACTTTTCTAGGTAAAAGTAATCTGAATGGGGGTGAAGGAAAAATTGTCATAAATTGTGAGTTCAAATGAGAAAAATTACAAAATCCTTCCTTCAAGGTTCTTACAAATAGGAGGAGATAACTTAATAAATTATCATTTAAACTTTAAATAATAACACCATAGATCTTGAATTAGTTTATTGTATAAATTATTCTATTAACTTTTAAAAACGGAGCAATCTAACTTCTGTCGTTAACAAAATTTAACTTTAATAGTTAATTAATTAAAAATAATAAAAAGAACCTCAAAAATTACAAAAAAAAGAACAACAATTTTTTTAATACTTTTCTGTATTTTTTGGGTCATTTATTGTAATTTATTATTTTTTTATAATATTTTCAGTCATTTTCTTGTCAACAAGTAATTAAAGATAATTTTTATTAATAATAAGAGTCAGCTTGCATTATTTTTAAAAGTTAAAAAAGTAATATACACAATAAATGATGTCAAAGTTATAATATTGTTGAATTTAAAGTTTAAAGAATAATTTATTTATTTACCTAATAGGAAGAGTTTCAATACAAATAATATCATTTGTATCAATATTTAGTTAGTTTGTTTTTGTTTTACTTGCTTGTTTGCTTGAGTTTGTTTATACTTCATGTTATATTCTCAATCTCGATTCTAATTGAAAGTTCAAAGCTATATAATAAGATTTCCAATTGATTTTGTTTTGGTCAAGGAAATTGAGTTTTTTTTTAAAAAAAGATAATGAAAAATTAGAAGTTTCAATGTTCTAAACCGTTTTCTTAATTCTTTTTAATCTGTTTATTCTTAAGAGGTCAAAATCTGTTTTACTATAAAGAAAAGAATAAAAAATTGACCCAATTAAAAATTTCAAGTCAAGTAGGATCCCAATCTTCCCTATCTGGTTTATTTTAGTGTTCTTTAGAGTTAGAATTAAAAAAAAAATCATTGCCCAAAATGAAATTTAAATAATAATAAGGCAGAAAAGTAGGTGACCTTATTTATTTATTTATTTTATTATTATTATTTTTTACCCTAACATAAGGAGAATGAAGCCTGGCGGTTGGGAAGAGGTAAAAGGAATAGAATGAGGATTGAGTACACCAATTTTTTTTTTTGTTTTAAAAAGAATAAACAAAATAAAATATAAAAAATCAATTATCTTGATTTAATTGGATTTGTTCATTTTAAACTCATTTACTGGAACAAAATTTTGAAAATATAAGCTATAAAAGAGGCCGATAATCGGATCAACTCTCCTAATGTATTCAACATTAACAAATACTAGTCTATCTCCTTTCTACTTAAAAAAAAAAAAATCAGCCTATCTTCTAAGGATTCTATATAAATTATTATTATTATTATTATATAATATATAAATTCATTTTTCATTCTAATGTAGAGAATAAATAATAATTAAAATTTAATATTATTTAATAATATTGATAACAAATTTTTTTAATAAAGTAAATAATACATAAAATATCCCATCTTGGCTCGAATAGATTTTAATATAACTAACAAATCAAAACATGTAAATTTTAATATGTTAACAATATTAATAATAAAAATCTATTATTGGAGGAATAATATATATCTATCTTTATTTGATTAAATAGCAGTATAATGTTAAGCATACAAGTTATTTCTTTTATTTTAATAGTCATCGTCTATCAATTTTTTTTATTTCTTGAAAAAAATTAAATATAAATTAAAGAAATGACACGAAGTTTGAAGTTATAGATAACAAGTTGTTAGTTTTTTTATCTTTTATATTAATTAAATTCAAATTATTGAGATAAGAATTTTTTAAGACGGAGAACTAACAATTTAGATAGTAATCTATCTAGTTATTAATAAAAATCTTGCATTGGCGTATCAAATTAAGTTATTGGGGTTTTTTTTTCTTGCTGTGGTAGAATCTTAATGTTTAGGATTGTGATATTGATTCATGCCTAATTATAAAGATTATGATGATCCATGGGTGTCGAATTCAAATACAAAAATCAATTATTAAATACATTATTTGGATAGGTATATATTTCCTCTTAGAAAAGATTTTTTGGTTAAAAATGTTAATTTCAATTCAGATTCATACTAATAGAAGATAATTGGTTTAATATCAGAGGAGAAGATAATTGGTTTAAAATATTAATTTGACTCTAAAACAAACACGAAGTAATCTTGAATAACTAAGTTCAAATATTTCAAAATGATAGATTTTCGAGGATTTGTTTACTGATTCAACTATAAAATAATACTTGTTTTAAGCATTAGGCTCATTATTTTCTGCTATCGCTTTTCATTGAGTCTGAGAATTGCAGAATAATTTTCTCCATGCCTTCTTCGTGTTTATTGTACTTGATTGAAGCTCGTTCTTCATACTTTCTAATCATTTGTTTCTCTTTTGTCTTCATTTGATTATCCTTTCCTCCGTCGTTTCTCTCCTAACTTGTCTCAAAAGTCTCAACTTTGGTTTGTGTTTTTGATCATTCATGGACACTAGTTCTGATGATAAAGGTTCTGAACCATTCGTTGAGATTGATTCAACTGGTCGATACGGAAGATACTGTGAGTTACTTGGAGCCGGTGCTGTAAAAAAAGTATACAGAGCTTTCGATCAAGTAGAAGGCAAAGAGGTGGCTTGGAACCAAATCTCCTTAAAAAAATTCTCCAAAGATGAAGCCATGATCAAAAGACTCTACTACGAGGTTGAGTTACTGAGCAATTTGAAGAATGAACACATCATTGACTTTCACCATTCATGGACAGACACGGAGAAGAAGACTCTGAACTTCATCACTGAAGCTTGCGTTTCTGGGTGTCTCAGAGATTACAGAAGAAAGCATCGTCACCTCTCAATCATAGCTGTGAAGAAATGGTGCAGGCAAATACTGAAGGGGTTAGAGTATCTTCATCTTCATGATCCTTGTATCATTCACAGAGACCTCAATTGCAGCAACATCTTCATCAATGGGAATCTAGGGCAGATCAAGATCGGAGATTTGGGCTTGGCGACTATGGTAGGAGAGAGTCATAGGGCTCATTCTATGATCGGGACGCCAGAGTTTATGGCACCAGAGTTGTATGAAGAGAACTACACAGAGAAAGTGGATATATATTCATTTGGTATGTGTTTGTTGGAGATGATTACGCTTGACATTCCTTACAGTGAATGTGATAGTGTCGCAAAAATCTACAAGAAAGTGACCTCTGGAATAAGACCTAAGGCCTTGGACAAGGTCAGAGACCCACAAGTTAAGGGCTTCATTGAGAAGTGCCTTGGTTCTGCGAGGCCTTCTGCATCAGAACTCCTTCAGGATCCGTTCTTTGAGGGGCTTGATGATGAGTACGATTACGGCAATGTTACTTCAGGGTTATACATGTTGCATTTGTAAAGAATTAATATCAAACTTTAGAGTTATCCAATTGAATCGCATGCTCATCCCATGAGTAAGTTATGGATTCATCTAGTTTTCAATTTGTACTAAGTTGGCAATATTTTTTTACTAGTTCAACTTTTCAGAAATAACATTTACATTGCCGTCAATTGAACTCCTGATGCCAGTTCGAGTCTCTGATCATCGTGTTGTGGGTGTTTGTATGAACTTATCGTTTGAATTCATACGTTTTGATGGATTGTGAAGCTAACTCGAATAACCGAAAAAGAGGTGTAATGCAAAAGCAGTAATATTAAGCACCTAATACCATACAATCTGACGTTGGTTAACAATGTCGACTACACAATACTAACGGACCTTCCCTCCCAATTTCCAACACTAAACACACAACGTTACAACTTACTCCAATAAATATGAAGCTATTGTTCAAACAATAAGCATGCTTTGTAGGGAGTGGACCATTTTTATGTGTGTGAGCTACATTCAACCTTCTGGGATTCCAGGACATATCTTGCTGTTTCCATGGCCACCTGTCCACTGACATAGTGCTGCCGACAAACTGGCATATATACCTCGGCTCCACCTATTAACTCAACCTGTGTCTCCTCGATCTTCCTCAGCGTAAAAAGCGCACGCTTTCCACAGATTTCACATCGAGCAGTTAATTTTGTTACAGAATCAGCAAGGGGGATGATGTCTAGGACGGAACCAAAGCTCCTCCTACAAGTCAAAACATAAACACCTTAAGGAAGGGCTAGAATTTTCAATCATGACCTGATAAACTCAAGGAGCAAATAGCCAGTTCCTATGAAGAAAACAAATATATGGTTGGGTTTCATCCATCAGTTGATGCTAATTTTCAACTTACAAATTTCAAGTTGTGTAAATTGCAAGTCAAAATGATACTAAATTACTATTTCTTCTCAAGTCAGGCAGAAAGAACAGTAAGTTTGGCTTCATTGAAGCCCTGTCCAAACAAAAGAAACTTGTAAAGTTTTAAAATAATAAGCATTCACAAAAGTAATACCTCAGGTAGTTTCCATCCAAACCAGCAACTATTACCGTTTTTCCATCGTGATCAGCAGCCTCACGACAAAAATCATAAAGGTCCTCAAAGAATTGAGCTTCGTCAATGCCAATCACATCCAGCTGTCATCATGCAGTTAGGAGAATCATACAAAACGCAACAGAAGACTGGTAACCTTTATGATACCCTTAAAACAACACCAGCAACCTCAGCCCAAATCACTCATTACGGAAACCTACCATTTCAACAGATTTTGGTGTAAAACTAAATCTCACACAAACATAATATGACAACCAGGATGCAGATCACACGGACTAAGAGTTCATAACAAAGTTTCTGAATAATGATACCTGGCCATAAGCATCAAGGCCAAATTTCTGCCTGAAAGACGATAAGTTTGTTAGAGCCCAACATGGTAATTTGACACCATCGTGTGTAACAATTGAATCTAATCCATATCTTGTATCCTTGCTTGATTTAATTACTGCCACATTTCTGCATCAGAGAAATATAAAATATCATAATCCCTAGAAAAGAGACATTTACAATGCCATTGAGAATTGCATTGTCCTGCATAACAGTTGCAGTACTTTATGCTCCACACAAATCCTTCCTCGTGAATTACAAGTGACAGACAGATGTACATGGCCCTCACACACCGCTGATGGCAACCACATGAGCTTCGTCTTACTGGATAAAATGAGGTATCCCTCGGCTATGATGACTTGTGCACTAAAACAGCATTGATTGCTGTAATGAGTCATAACCAGGACGAAGAGAAAAAAAACTGAATAAATGATTGAAGGGAAAATCTTCCACAGCAGCATAATTTTTGACAAAAATTTCATGAGAGTGCCTTTAGCTACTACATTAACCTATTTGACACTTGACCACAGGCATGATGGGCTTGCTTTCCAGGTTCCCTCACTTTCTAAAAACCCTTTTAAACATATCCAGTTATTATACCATTCCTAGAAATTAAGCTCTTCTCCACCAAATTAGGAAGCAGAATGTTACAAAAATTGGTCTTAGAATATTCAGTGGGGATCACGGCCAAAAGGAGAAAACAATATAAGTGGGGACAAAGCCAGCAATAATCATTTGTGCATCAAGTATTCAACCGCTCCAACACTCTTTCCAACCACATATCTTCCCATTCAGAAACAAGTTGGTCAGAGCTTAAATTTTGATTTTATTTCCACGTACCACTAGTAATTTGCTTCTACGCATTTGTCCGACAAATTACATTAAACATTTAATCACTGAGACAAACAATTCCACCCTTCAAGATAATAACAGAATCTTCTATTGGCGTCAACACGAAGAGAACTTCGAGATGTTCAACAAGAAAGTGAACTGTGCTCCGTCACGAAGTCAAAAATAAACAGAGCAGAAAGGTTCACCTGCCGCTGCTGCTCTGTAATTGAATACGGTGAAGAAGTGTGGTAGTTTTGCCAGCGAACATCGGGCCAACGATGACGTGAATCTCACCCGACGGAGGCTGAGACGCCTCCATTTGCAAGTTCCGACTCTGGGTTGAGCAAACGAAGCTATTGGATAAAAGGGGTGTTGACTTCAGGTGGAGATTATTGTGAAAGCAAGATGGCTTACAGCCGACGAAAGATTCAAAAGGCCATGCATTAGAAGCAAGAGAAATAGTTTGGGGCTTGGGAAGATGAGGAGAAAAAGCCAATAACTTTGGGCTTAAGACAGACCTCATCTTGGAGATAGAATTCATAAATATAATCACTATCAGGGATAACAAGAAAAAATGGGAAGAGGGAAAGGAGAAAGGAGGGGTTTAAGAGTTTTGCAGATTAAGGAGTAAAAGACAGTATTTTCATGGTACGATGTTGCAATTTGGCAAGGGTTTTTCTCTTGGAGAGAGCCAGCAAGTCATGAGAAATGGGGGGGAAAAAGCAGAGATTGATGATGCCGCGAGATTGGTGGGCCTTCAGTTTCTCTTTAAAAAATGTCACGACTCACGAAGAGGCAGTGAGCCCAACAAAATGAATACAAAAGACCTCCACCATGCCATGAGAATCAGATTCGAAGTATGAAGGGCCAAACGTCATCCCATTTATAAGTTACCCCATCGTGTTTAAAATTTTATTTTTATTATATATACATACATACACTTTAAAAAGATAAAAAATAAATATAAAAATTATAGAAATGTCCTATAAATATTCTCTTACTGAATTATGAATAGAACCACAAGAATAAATATTTTTGATGATTAAAGAAAATTAAAAATTTAGATGGATTGTATCCCAAATTTACTAGAGTCTAGGCATTGCTCAAAATTTTTTAAAAAATATTTATAGACACACTTATCATTATTCATTACAAATCACCCAGCCATAGGGACTTCTCTTTTTGTAATTATATCCTTGAAAAATGTCTTCGAGTTAATATAATTAACCTCGAGAGACTTACTTTTGTGAAGAATAGATTATATTGTACTTAATAAGGTTTTGGATCTTGTACGGTCTCTTCATTTTTATAAAATTTACACCAACAAATCATCTTATTTACTCCCGTTTTTGCTTCAAGTATAATAAATAAGATGTAGTGTGTATAAATGAAAGATAGTATAATTTGTTTTCTAAGTTGTACATTATTTTTTAAAAATACTAGATATGACCCTATCATATTATTCGTACAATTATTCCATTTCAAATGAGTCCAATTCATGTACCCAAGAAAAATAAGTACAATGAGTCATTTGCCCAGAAACTGAAAAGAAACAAATATTATGCAGACTTCACATCTGAAACAAATAAAATTAAGTAAACTATAAAATTAAATAAAGGAAAAATGACAGTTAAGTTCCAAAAGACCAATTTTATTCAAGGTAAGTTTCAAGATATTTTGAAAGGCCAGTTAAGTCCCTAAGTTCTTGAGTAATATTTTAATATAATGAGAAATGACCAAAATATCCTCATTTGGCTGATGAAAATTTGAGGTTTTTCCTTCTCTACTCTTCCCTGCCCTATTCGTCGTCCCTTCCTTCCCCGCCCTGTTTATTGTCTCTTCCTTCCCTGCTATGTTCATCGTTTCTTCCTTGTCTCATTGTAAGCGAGTAAAGCTCTCTGTCGTCTCTTTCCTGAGCTGTCCAATAAAGCTGTCTGTCATTTCTATTCTAGTCCTGTTTGATGTCTCTTCTCTGCCCTAAGTGATTAGTTGCTTAGGTCATTAATCTGTAATCCGTTTTAGTTATTAATCTTTGATGGGTGTGATGCATTTGCCTAGCTGAAGAGTCTGATCCTCATCAACATTCACCATTTCAATTATGCAGAAATTGCTACTTCTTCAATTTTTTTTTTTTGCAAATCCTTGCATCTGAACAAAAAGGTTTACTCCATAAAGGTCTGATTTCTTGCAAAATGGCTTTTATAAGGAAAAAGATGAAACGATTTTCTGCAACTGAACATGAAATATTTTTTTTATTTCACGTTTCTAAATATTTGGCATGAAGATTCGACATTTTGCGACTGAAAGTGTAAGAAATTACTATCGAGTGTCCATATTTTAAGATGAAACGCTGTCACTGTTTAATTGATGCGAAAATCACTTATGACAAAAGTAACTTGTTTCTAAGTGATATATTATTACATTTTATTTTATTTCTTGTAGGTTGATATTATTGGGTACGATGGAAAGTAGTTGTTTAAAGTTTTTTTCATTTTGATGGAGATATTGTAAAAGATATGTATGGGACAATGCATTATGATGGGGGGAGTTGTAATGGAAGAATGATTAGAGAAGGAATGTCTGTTGAAGGACTTGTTAGATTGATTTTATCATGCTTGAATTGTGATTTAAATGGAATAGAGTTGAAGTACACAGTAAAGTTTGATTGCAATGCTCTTTTAGACTTTAAAGATGATGAAGGAATAAATTAATTAATGAAATTGAATGATAATTTTTCTCATGTGTATATCATTGGGAAGACACAGCAAAGTATAAAGGCAATAAGAGATTCAATTGATGAATAAGTTTTTTAATAATTGCATAATTAATATTATGCTAATATGAATATGGATGGTAGTAGTAAACATGATTTGAATGAAAATGCAGAGTAGGATGTTCAGTTGAGAATTCACATACTACACAAGATCTTGAAGTTCTACCATGTGCAATACAAAGTATTCCAATACCATGCCTGAGCTAAATGCAACAAAGTGGAAGGATTTGCTAATAGGACCTGGGCAGATTTTTGCGAGTGCTGATGATTGTAGACAAGCAATCTACAAGTATAGTATTGTACTATGCATGTTATCTTCGTAGTTCATAAGAGAAAATATACAATGGCACTATGCATCATGTTGAGACTCATGAGATGTCAAAGCCAAATGCATTGACAGTATCTAAGCTTATAAGCCAAACCTTTTTGCTGCCTTCTAAGACATCTCGATCAGCTGGTAGACCTTATCATGTGAGGATTGAGTCTCAATATCAGCAGAAGAAAGTTTATCATTGTTCTCATTGTCATGAAGCAGGTCGTACACGAAAGAGGTGTAAAAATCTAAATCCAAGTTGATGTTATTGTAAATGGATTATCACATGAACTTAGATTTGGGTGATATACATATATGGGTAGTTTTAGATCAAGTTAGATTTGGTTAACATATATAGGTTTTTATCCATATATATTGGTAGTATTGGAGGATTTTTTTGGTACATAGCAACTCCTCTTTTATAAATCCAAGTTCATGCTTTTGTGTATATGGACAACTGATATGTGCGATGCATTAGATGAATTAATACATGCAACTTATATGTACAGTTCATATCTTCTGTAATCACTAAAAGTGTGTTGTCTTAAAATTTTGAACAGAAGTTGCAAATTATTTGTAAGGCAGTTACAAAATTTGGTATGTCAATTGCAAATTACTGGAGCCATGTCCTAAAATAATTTGGTAGCTTTGCAAGTTTAAGAATTTAAAAGTTATTCCACCCAAAATTTTGAGAATGAGTTGTAAATTATTCGTAAGAAAGTTGCAAAATTTAGTATGTTAGTTGCAAATTACTGGAGCCATGTCCTAAAATAATTTGGTAGCTTTACAAGTTTAAGAATTCAAAGTTATTCCACTCAAAATTTCAAGAAGGAGTTGCAAATTATTTGTAATAAAGTTGCAAAATTTGGTATGTCAGTTACAAATTACTGGAGCGTTATCCTAAAATAATTTGATAGCTTTGTAAATTCAAGAATTTAAAAGTTATTCTACCTAAAATTTTGAGAAGGAGTTGCAATTTATTTGTAATGAAGTTGCAAAATCTAGTATGTCAGTTGCAAATTACTGGAGCCATGTCCTAAAATAATTTGGTAGCTTTGTAAGTTCAAGAATTCAATAGTTCTTCCATCCAAAATTTTGAGAAGAAGGTGCAAATTATTTGTAAGAAAGTTGTAAAATCTAGTGTCTCAATTGCAAATTACTGGAGCATTATCCTACAATAATAACTTTAAAAATTTAATAGTTCTTCCACCCAAAATTTTGAAAAAAAGTTGCAAAATCTGGTGTCTGAATTACAAATTACTGGAGCGTTGTCCTAGAATAATAACTTTTTTAAAAATTCAATAGTTCTTCCATCCAAAATTTTGACAATCTATGAAAAATTTGTCTCGAGCTAGTTGCAAAATTGGGTATCTAAGTTGCTTGACAACTTGATTGATTGGGTATAATGTAAAACTTGAACATTATAAATACATTTGTTAGAAGTTGGGAATAAAATTGTGAAAACAAATTATAAAGTTACAGAGTTGCAAACTTGATTAATTGGGTACAATATATAACTTCAAACTTAAAATTCATTTGAGCATCTCATCACTTGTACAAACTACATAGTCCCCCTTCAGCTAAGACACTCAGGGAAAAAAATTGAAGAAGAAGCAATTTCTGCATAATCGAAATGGTGAATGTTGATGAGGATCAGACTCTTCAGCTAGGCAAATGCGTCACACCCATCAAAGATTAATGACCAAAACGGATTACAGATTAATGACCTAAGCAACTGATCATTTAGGGCAGAGAAGAGACATCAAACAGGATTAGAATAGATATGACAGATAGCTTTATTGGACAGCTCAGGGAAGAGATGGCAGAGAGCTTTACTCGCTTGCAATGAGACAGGGAAGAGACGATGAACAGGGCAGGGAAGGAAGAGACAACGAACAAGGCAGGGAAGGAAGGGACGACAAACAGGGCAGGGAAGTGTAGAGAAGGAGAAACCTCAAATTTTCATCAACCAAATGAGGATATTTTGATCATTTCTCATTATATTAAAATGTTACTCAAGGACCTAGGGACTTAACTGACCTTTCAAAATATCTTGAAACTTACTTTAAATAAAATTGATCCTTTGAGATTTAATTATCATTTTTCCTTAAGTAAACTATGCCAGGAGAAAGGAAAAGAGAATAGATTGACAGCTAAGAAAACGAAGCACACTTGTTTTTATATAAAACATTATTCTTTATATATGTGCGCACACACACACTTAAGGAATTGATTGTCAGTATCAATCAGGGACAGGGCCACGTTGTGACAAAATTGAAGCATCTATATTCTAATGGGAATGTTACAATTTGCTCCCTAAAAATTAATTGCACTCAACTGTACCTAAAATTTTCATTTGCTCCCCTAAAAATTGCGCTGTTCTTCAGATTTTGCCCCCTTGTTAAATTTTCTTGCTCCGTTCCTGGTGATTGCGCACATTTATTATTATTATTTAGATTTGGATTTGATTAAGTGGAAGGAGATCAAGTTTTGATGTTAAATTTCTTTTTTTTTTTTTGTTGGTTGAAATATTCAAGGTGTGGGTTGTCATGATCATGTTTAATGGATTCGATCTAATTAATTAGGACAATTCAATTCATGTCAGGATAAATCAATCATTGAACAACTCAAATTCTAATAATGATATCATTTTTAATAATTGAA